TCAAACCTTATTCTTTTAATTATGTACATTCTTTTATTTTGTATTTAAGGGTGAGTTCAGATTATAGGAGACTTCAACTTAAATGGGAAATAATTCTTAACAATTGTAGTGTCATTTGGGAGTAAGCACCATTTTCAAAGAAGGGGTAACCCAAGGCCGGCTAACATTTTTCTATATTATGTCCTTAAAGCATAGAATTGATTACAGAAAGGACAGCTTTTAAGTGGATGGATCAGTAAGTTCAATTACATTCATCGCTTACATGGCCAAACAACATTTTTTAAAAACTCTTCCTTGTTACCTTGAGGACAGCGTTGAAAGACGCCCCGAAGTATGCAACAGAAATTAATTTTATGTAAGCCATCTGCTTCTCTCTCCACGTGGAAAGCGTCACCAAACCAAATTAAATAATGTGGAATTTACAATTTAATGAAAAACACTTTTTCCTTGTCCACCGCCTCCCCGCGATGACCCTTTACCCCATACCCCTGCCGGCCTCCTGGCGGGTGGCCCTAGAAAGCGGAAATGCTGAAACAGCGAAATATTTCACGCCTTCTTTAACATACTTTATTAAAAAAGCAAGGCCCTAACTTTGGTACGTCGAATTTATATATACCCTTGCAGTTATAAAAGTAACATTTGGTATCAACGTTTAAAACATTTTTCTATATCCGTATTTTCCTTGTACGATTTAAAGTTATTATGAGAAAGTTTTGTAATTTAGATATCATTACAAATTATCATATCTCGAAGTATATGGAAATATCTTATAAAATATTAACTAAAATTTGTTGTTTATAATACTTTTTTTTATAAGTTATAGTTGTCCGATCAGGCCAGATTCTGACATATATGTATGTATGTATATACTATCTGAAAGTGTCATTCAGATCTAAGAGACTGAAAACAGACAGATTCACAGACAGACTGATCAAGAGCATACAATGTACTTTATAGGATCTTATATGACTCCTTCACTGCAAACTTTTGACTAAAATCATTATACTCTTTGAAAGGGTATAAAAATAACAGTAGTAGGCTATAGATTCTGCAACGCATATACCATATACATATATGTATGTAACATGGTAACCAAAGCACACCCAACACAAAAAAAATTGAAAAACGAACAGGAACGTTATGTTGAATAATAACGAATATTGTGAAGAGTCAAATCAGAGCGCTGCAAAGCGGCAGGGTGTCAGCGCGGGGTTCGCACATCTGTGATACTTTTATGTAGCGAAAACCAACAACATCGGCGGCAAATGCCGTAATAATAGTTGCCAAAAGCAATTAGACAAACTAATAAAGGCAAATCCCCACACAAAGGGTCAAAGGGAGGAGTGAGTGAGCCGGCGAGCGAGCCGTGAACCTCATGAGCCTCATGGGTGACCGCGGCGAACGGGAGTGCGAGCGGGATGCACAGTGGCACTCTCTCACCTCGCTTAGGCCTCGAAGAATACAGCGAACCCCCAATGGCGTTGGCCAAGCGAGATGGCGATAGTGTGGTGAGCTGAGATGATGATGCATTCTCGCGTTGTCGTTGTTATTGCTTTTCTGGTTGTTATTGGTGTTGTCGCTAGGCATGCATTTTATAGTACCCTGTATTAAGATAATGGGTATATATATTTGAATTGGAAACGATTGTAATCTAAAAACGAGTATCTTGTTTAACTTCTTTAAACACTCAGATTATCCTTGGAAGTCAAATAGTTTATTTTAAATTTCAATCAATATAAACATTACGTTAAATGGTCTTAGTATATGGTATTAAAAACTCTATATCTCAGGATCGACTAGACAGAAAACATTTAACAAGATATACTATACTTGAACTAATTCAGCGGTAGGATTAACATTTATTGAACTAAGGATTGCAAACATGCTGATCTTTGAGCACAATATATATCTGAAGATTTCTAATCCTTAATCTGAGAACCAGGATTAAGATGCTTTAATATCAAGTTTGTGTCTTTTTTATAATAAAACCAACAATAAGCAATTTGTTTTGTGATTCATACACTGAATATTGTACAGATAGAAAGTCTCTGAAACTCGAATATAAATAGAATGTAATTATTAGTACTCAAATTCCAGGGTATTTCGTTGACATAAAGTCGCAATTAAATGGTGCTTCCTAGCTTTTCGGCTGGGGCGTGCTAAAAAGTTCAGCCATGGGAAGTGAACACTAGAGAGGAGCAGTCCAGAAGTCAAGAGCGCATAAAATCCAACTCAGATCTCGCCCCTAGTCAGGCGAATAGGATCATGAGAGCACATATGTAGTATATAGTATACACATTTGTATGTACACAGGGTGAGCGTTTCATACGTGTACCTTTCTTCAATTCGATCCCCTTGGCCCGCCCGCCTCCGGAACGGTGTGCAAAGTTCAACGTAATTGCGTCTAAAAGTGCGTGTACTTGAGCATTTTACTTTATATTTTTCTTTTTTTCCTGAGAGTGCTGAGCCTTTGTTGTCGGCCTTTTGCCGTTACAAATATGTTTTGAAAGCAAAGTCATGCTGGATCACAATAGCCGGGGGAACTACATATGAGCATGGGCTCATTCATACCTTTCTAATGCCCAGAAATTAGTTTTCTGAAGTGGCTTTAAATATTTCGTCTGGATAGGCCAAATTGATATGCCTCGCTTGGTAATGAAGTGAGTGGAAAGATATTTTGAAAGAGTTTTATTTGTGGGGGGCCTGATATGAAAGACCGATGGAAAATTGTTATAAATGAAAATGAAAGGCAAACTAAAATGATTTTTGAAGTCGAATAGATTTATAAATACTGATAAAGGGTATTTATATATATTTCGTATAGAAGATTCTATAAAAATTTATACGCTTGGTAAATATTTAAAATGTTTTTTTTATTGTTTAAATTGTTTAGTATACAAGACAATTCATTGTTATTTATAAGACAGAGGTGCTCATTCGGTACTCAATTAGATTTTCGTTATATTATTAACTTCATTTTTATCCTACAAATAATATTCTTAGAGCATAGGCAATAATATTTCTTGTCTTTATTTTCTATTTTAATGATTTAATGTCAAACACTGATAAAACAAGAAAAAAAAAGATCTTGATTTAAAGTTCTTAATTCTTAATAATATCTTAATATATGTAGGTAAAAAAATATCTTAAGACAAGACCAAAAATTCGGAAAATAAAATAATCACATTTTGTTCAAACACATAAAACATGAATATACAATTGTAAATCTCATAATAAGACCAAAAGTAGTCTTACGCTACTTTTTTTAGTCATATGACATATGATATTCACATCTACATAGTAAATATGTACATACATCCATAGGCCAGTTGATAGCATCCCCAGTTCATTAAGCAACTACATGATGTTAATTTAATACCCCTTTCTAGGTAAGAACCCTTTTCTCAGCCACCTCCACTCCCCAATTTCAAGCAATAATAATTTTAATTAAATGCATAAGGGACCAGTGACCAAAACAAAGCCAAACAAACAACAGAAGAAGACAGCCATGGAAATAAATCCCGAAATGAGTTGCAAACAAATTACGCCGCAGAAATGAGCTCCAGCGGTGACAAATTACAAGGAAACAACCGAGTCGCAGCGACGATGAGAAATGATGACAGGCGTGCAGAGGAGCGCAACGGTAAACGTCAGACAGGGATAGAGACAGCGGCAGGAGAACGGTGTGCGAGCGGGCAGGCAGGAGTCACCATTGCAGACAATGCCAGTGCAGCTAACTTAGCTGATTTCCGGTCATGTTGAGATCAGAAAAATAATTTGGTTATTGATCTGATTACTGACAAGAAACTAACCATACTTAAATATGAAAAAAAAGACATAGAAAAAATATTGTAGAAGCAACTAATCTTTTGGAACTGGTTAATAAATTAATGGAAAAAGAAAAATATAACATTTCATCGCAACATAATAATGAAATTAAATGTGTGATTACACATTAGTCCTTCAAGAAACGCTGTACACTAAAATATTTTAAACTAAATAGTAAGAAACTTATGCTATCATTGAAAAAAATCATAAAATTATACAGAATTGGCTAATTTTTACCAGCAAGTTAAAAAGGAAAGTTGATTTTCAATGTATAAAGTGTTTCATGACATTCTGTATGTACATCCAAGCATAAATAGAAAGATTACAATAATAATATTGATATATTATGCCATAAAATTGTAATGTATTCGGTTTACTAGCTGTTATTACTTATCGTATTTATTAAATATAAAAGAAAATCTTCAAATAGGTTGTTTTTCCATAGTAGTTCTTGCTGCACCCACGTGAAAAATATTTTTATACAATTATGCCCAAAACGCCTTTAAAATTCGGCTAACTTTGATTGCATAATTTGGGATTGTAAATAGTAATTGAATAAATGTAACAGGAAAGGCAGCTGCTTTTGCATTTCCGTTTGTGACTATTTGCACCTTTTAGCACGCGTTGTTCTGACCACTTTAAGACCCCATCTAAGCGGTACACTTCCGCTGTAAATAGGGTACGACCCTGCGAATGCAATCCGTACTTGACCCCCGACCCATAGTCGCCCCCGCTGACTTGGCCCGCATGCGGTGCTTTTCACATCTCCCAGTTATTCGACTTTTTGGGTTATTCGGGTTTTACGCTCAGATTTACATCTGTTTGCATTTTCCTCCCGCTCTGCGACCGATGTCGATGGGCGATTTGTTGTCTGTTTCGATTTGAGTTAGCATATTATGTCCATTAGCAAAATGTTTTCCCGGGTCTTTGTTTGGGATTTTCTACGCCTTAGCTAGGTTTGTACTCAATTACCAGTTGACAGTCATAAAAAATCTTTATTAGGAAGCATTATTGAATTTTCTACAGTCACTCGATGTGAATTCTTCCTCCGAAACTATTATTTTAATAATTATTGTAATATTTTAAAACCAATCCAAATGAAAGAGTGACCTATAGAAACCCATACTTTGTCAGTTTTCGATCTTGAAACTCGAAATCTCAATATTCTCGACAAAACCTTCAATTCAATTCAATTTGACGAGACGTAAACTGAACAGGAACTTTACACAAAAAGTTATATATTTCCAGTAAACAGGGAAAGCCGGAAAAAGAAGCATGAGTTTAAAGAAGAAAGTGTACTGGGGCCCCGCTGAACCTACCCTCGCGGAGAATAATCAAGTCAAAAAAATGTCAGACACAAGACTTTCCTGCCATCCTACGTGCAAGAAAAGCCCCAAATGTGCCTGATCCTGTCCTGGCACTACGGTCGCCAGTGGCTGGAGGAGCGTCAGGCTCATGAGGAAGCCATAAGACAAATGAAACGGAAAAGCACAAAATTCATTCCACCCAATTTTGACAAGTGGCTGGAAAGCCGCAAACCAAGTTTGACGCGTCGCCAACGGGCTACCCCTTATCCGGATTTATTAAGAATCAGGCCTGAATGATTGCTAATAGTTATGATTATGTTTCTTAAATCAAAAAGCTTCAACTTTATAAAAATTTTACAATGGAGAAAAAAATCTTTTAAAGATTGTTGATTTCGAATAACAACAATATATTTGAATACATTTTACATTTTTAAACCTAATCGAAATCTATTTTAGTTGGTTATTGTACTTATCTTGGGTAAAGTAATATTCATAATCTACAGATTCTTTGTAAAACATTCGCCACACCGAAACTTCTTTACCCTTTCCGCAGCCATTCAATTGAATTGGAAATCGATTAAAGAAACGGTAATGGAGGTGTATAAATTATTTATAATTAAAAACATTGACATTTTTTTCCCTTACTTATTCTAAAAATAAACCCGGCGTTCGTAGGACATGATAATTTCGTTTTCGGCACTTAACTACAAAATAAATAGCCTTGAATCTAAAAAGTCCTTGCAGAATGCCAAATTAGAAACTAGTTTAATTACATACATACATACATTCTACATACAGCCTCACATTATTTCTACTTAGTATAACAAAATATATTATGTAATAGAAACCAACTATGCCCAAATGAACAATTTAAATATTTTATGAATGGTTCTTTACAATTCTAAAGGGTAAATTACGTTTAAACTAAATGAGAAAACTTAGTTTCAAAGATATTAAAAGAAAGGCGGGGTAACAAAATTTTAAAATTAATGCACTGATCAGCTGATCAGCTCCAATTTAGAACCTACGGTCAATCGGAAATACTCAAGATAAACCCTAAAGTATCGGAAAGCTACATATCTTCAACAGGTCAACTCCAAATTTCTTCACGAATTTGATTGACAATTAAAGTAATATTAACAAACAATTTTTGCGTTTCACTAATGCAGACTAAAGTCGGATTTTTTATACAACTTTGTTAAAAGTTATTCAAGTAGGCCTTGACATATTTATCAACAAACTTGAATCCCACACAGACCTCAGTCAACACAACTACAAATAGAAACGGAGAAGACAGTTGACACCAACCACAACAATGACATCGGGGCCTAAAGTTTGGAGCCGTTCGCAGCGGATCCCGGCAAGGGATAACATCGGGGCTATCCTGCCGGCGGCTCAGCGTCCGGATCCTATTCCACAGTTGTGCGGAGAGGGGAGTGGGACCGTGATGGGCTGGCTGCTCGGCTGGGAGTACGGCCGGAAGTGGCTGGAACGCCGCGAGGAAATCTTGGAGCACCGCGCCATGGTTAGCAACTTCGGACGCATTCCAGCGGACTTTGAATGGTGGCTTAACCAGCGCCGGCCGGCCATGGTGCGCAAGCAGAGATTCCGCAAGAAGACAGGACCCCGTAAAGTGATCACGGCCTTCAATGTTGCCAAGGAGCTGCGTGAAGCCCAAAACCGCAAGGTCATGGAGAGCCTGGCCAAAACGCATGTGAATTAACACTCAGTACATTTCAATGTGTCCATTGAGACCAAACTAGACCAAAATTACTGATTTAAGCTGGACCCATGATGACCACAAAAATAAATAAGGAACCAGAGGTAGTATCATCACTTATTACTTAGATACTACTTATTTGTTATTGAGATCCTGAAGTACAAAAGCAAATAAACTAGTCCGTTATTGTGATCCCCCTGCAGTCTTATCAAAGTCATCTAATTATATATTTAGTACTTGGGAAGAAAGAACTTGGTATTTCATCTCCATGTAACTCCATACAAGGTTGCCAAATATTTTTTATTTTAAATTTATTAAGGTCAGGATATTTGTCCATCTATTTCGATCGTGTTATTTAAAATTATGTATAAACTAGAATACATGCGAATTCAATCAACTGTACACAACCGTAGTTGTTTTTTCCCTCTCTCTCCTCTCCCTAAAAACAAAATGCTCCAATTTGCGGACATGTCAGTTGGCTTTTTCTGGTCCTGTTTCCAGGATGCGGTCGATGAGCATGTAAAATATGAGGCTCACAACAAACAAAAGCGCAGCATCCGAAAAGCCTTCGCCTCACTCATTCACTCACTTGCCTTTGAATCGGCGGCTTCCCCTGTGGAAATGTCAGGCGAGTATAACAATAGATCGGACTATATAGTACATACGAACTATATGCAACCATCATCATCATCATAATCATGATATTCGTCGCTGACGTTTTTGTTAATCGCCATCAGAGGCCGGGTAAGTGAACAATTGGCCTGGGCGAACTCTCAAGGCCCGTGGATATTTGTATATGGCCTTATATATTCTTTATTTGCATTTCCGCTTCATTAACTTGGGCACACAAATCAAACTATAAAGATCAACTATATTATATGTGGCCTGGTTGGCTTTTTTGTCATTATTATTGTATTTCCCTTTTTGGCGCGTAAAAAGCACTGCGAAAACATGATTTATTTTAGGGGCGTACGCGTTTGTGCATTTTTTCATTGCTTTTATTTTCACGATTTTAAGGGTTATTTGTTGGCAAACTTGTACCTAACGCAACCCGCTTCATTTTCTTTATTTTTTAATTACAAAAACTCATTAGTGATATTTGGTTTTTCCGACCTTTTTTCTTGTAATTTATGGCCCTTGGACCCTGCGGAGTTTAGCTTTAAAATGGTAAAAATTATTACTGTAACTTACAGGCACCATTGAAACATTCTCTTAAATTTCTTTCACTTAAGATTTATTTTCTGCATCCTATGTAGTATTTATTAGAAACAAAAATGGGGACTTTCTCCTTCAATCAAACAAATTTATTTGGTTATTTATGAAACCTCTCGCCGGCTACTGAGTAATTACAATTAATAATCATATATTTTCTTCGCTTAGTATGCACCATTCACTTGGCACGCATTTCCCCACATCTTTCTCGTGTATTTTCAACAACATTCTAGTTTCGTACAATTTTCCTCGCAATTTATGCCACGAATAACATTTTCCAGCAACAAAGGACGGGGAAAAGGCATCACACTGTGTTGCAGTTTTCCGCGCATAAATTAATGAAAACGACTGAAGACCATTATGATGGAGGAGAGATGGGGCAGAGTGAAGGCAGCCGTCGGAAAGGGCTGGGAAATGTATGATTAAACATTAAACAAGTGGCATGAAACAGGGAAGGGGAAAAAATTATAATGAAAAACCGCTGCGAAATGTATAATAGAAAATTTTCTTTCAGAGAAATTGTAGAAAAAATCGGTAAGCGGAAAGCAACGATGAAATTACGAATATGAAAATATTTATTTATGTATTTAATTTGTTTGATTTATTTGTTATTAGACAACAATTTTAATTTAATGTGTTGCATGCTATTTTCATTATTTAATTGTCTGAGACCTTTTCTAATCCACATTTTATGGATTGACAAATTCTCAAAATGTACATTAATTTAAATTTTAACTATGGTTCACAAGATGTCAATTGTATGACAATAAATAATAATTACCTTAGTTTAAGAATTGTCAACATAAAACTTAACCAACCATAATGTTGAATTAAAGTTATCATATCTTAAAAGTTGAGTTCCAAATTCTTATTTTCCATTGTAATTAAATGTATTGCTCTACAAATTTAAGTAGGTGTTAATCAGGGAGTAGGTGGAATTTCTTATATGCCTTTTATCATATCAAATTTGCACACTTTGGCATAGAACTACAAAGGTATTCCAACGTTTTCAGAAACTTATTAACCTTGCATTAAAAATGACGTAAATATTTATTTAACTCTAAAAATATTTAAGTTTAGCCCTAAAACTACAATGTGATATCCCTCGTGCTGTGCTGACAGCTCTTGCAAATCCAATCGAATATTATTAATATTGATGCGCAGAAGCGGCTTGGCAGAGTACGTCATCCAAGAATTGAAACAATCTAACGTTTCCTGTTAAATCTAAATAAATATTTAATGAAATTTCAATTATCATAATGTCCAGAAGTTACAAACCAAGTAAGAAAGATGAAGTCCAGGATGCTGATAATCCGTAGCATCCCCACAAAAATCCCAATGGTAATATAAGATAAGTGTTAAAAATACATGTTCTAAGCCAAAATTATTTTAAACTAATCAGCTTCGATACCCTGGTTTTAGACTAGGTAGAGACATTTTAAAACAACTAGATTTTTTATATTATATGCTTTTTTTAAATTTGTATTTGTAGATTTATTTAAGATGTCAACCCAACAAAGAGATAATAGAATTTTACCAATATCGGTGAATCTAACTGGAATAGTCTCAGAGGACGATTCATACAGAAAGGCTGACCTTCTGAATATCTATTTCATTGCATACTTTTGGCCACATCTATAATTGGTATTAAATCTATATTCCATAATTACCATATCTTCCTTCCCATATCTTAAACGTCTGGTAATGTTCTAACGGCTCTGAACGATTCCGTCGAAAATAAATATAATTTAAATTTAAAAAATCTATATTCTGGCTTACTTTAATATTTTCATTTCCCTAGGAATAAAGGGTAATGAAATCAAGACACTGAAACCATATTCTTTAAGGCTCTTAGATTCAAACAAAGCTACTTTGTTATGTAAAGAATTGGAGTGGTATATAAATGTACACATCGAGCAGCCCATTTCCTAGTCTCATTACGTAACCCGCAGATCAAACCTTGAAAGGGAAATGCGACCGAACGGAGCAATTGCATTTGCGGTCTTGTGACCAATGGGAGACCGCAAAAACTAATTAAATCGCCAAAACAGCAACCGATAAAAACAAAATGGAGCCGCCAGAAGCGGAAACGAGCTTTATTTGTGAGTGCAACCACAAAACAGATGCTGATTATGAAGATAATTAATATGGCTAATTAAACAGGCAAATGCGATGCAGAAATTGCATTGCAAACGGAAAGCTTGCGAGGATTGCGGAGTGAGCTCGGAAAACAGGCAAAATTTCAACGGCTCCTGCCACATAAAAGCCAATTAATTATTTTTATGGCTACTCCGGACCGAGAGCCAACTCCACCAACGGAAGCCAAGAGTCGCCGTCTTGCCTCTCTCCCCCGGACTCGGGGATAATAAAAAATTATGGCCAGCGATTTGGCTCACTCGAAACGAAGCGAAACCAACCGAACTAAAAAAATAAAAAGAGGAAACACAACAAAACACAGTGCGCCACTGACCAGGCCAAAAGTGCTACCCCTCCCCACGCGTTACTCCCTTTTAATGCATACTAAATCCTCGAAAAAGAAGTACCAAATCCTGCTCTCGTGCAAGGGCCAAAAAGATGGCGCCGTGCTGTGTACAAAATTGATCAGTGGATTCCCTGCCGTTTGAACTATGACGCGATATGTCATCATATTTTCTCGTTGCACTCGAACGGACGACAGGGGCGTGGCGCGGGGGAGTCGGTCCTGAGGAAGGGCAATTCTTGGGCTCCTTGTTTGCCATGCATATTTCTCACTTTGTCAAACCTTTTGTGCCATACACAAGGCCGCAACCAAATTGCATTGCCAACACGGAAAGAAACGAATTACAAATTGATTTGAGATTATAAGATTTTGTATTATTAATATTTATATTACTTGTAAATAACTATAACCTGAAAGTATAAAATATATACATAATTTAAAAACACGACATTTTTGGACTTAAAATTCCTAATTCAAAAACATATGTAATTAAAATTAAAACAATTGTATAAATTACCTCTTTATTCGAGATATTATGTATATTATTTAAAGAAAATATTTGGAGTTACACAGATCTACAGGCGTGCTTTAGTTTTCACTTTCTAACGTTTCTTTCAAATTAAAAATCAGGTAAGATTGACTCTGCGAAATGAAATGGCATTCAAAATACGTTTTAAAACCTTTTTAAACAAACAAAACTTCAAGCAAGATCAACCTTATTTTTGGTTTCCAAATTAAATTAAAAGTAGACCTTTGCTCGCCTATTACAATTTTTATCAATAAATCAATTAATTTGGTAAAAGATAAATGTAAATGCTTTTTGGAAATAAAAAGTTTTAAATTATTTTTTGTTCTTTTACTTCTGAACACATAAAAGCTTTTTTTAATACTAATTTTTCGGTTAGTAAAGTATTTCAAAAAAATAGTGAAAGCTAGACAACAAAAAACCAAAACGAATCATTGAAGACAATAAAAAAACAATAATTAAAACCTAAAACATATGTATGTACGTATTCCATACAATTGAATTTAAAATTACATGATATAGAGACAAAACCCCCAAAACATTTTTATCCAAAAAAGTCTTTTGACTTTAAGCTTTTTTAATATTTTATGAATGTATTAAAGCCCTACTGATATTCTATTAACCACATTTAATTATGATTTTGAATTTAAATGTTGTCTATATTATTGGCTGTGGTGGGAACGGAAGGTTCATCACTTACATATTCTTGTTTTTTTTTCTCTGTGTAGTAATCATTTCATTCCTTGTTCCCCCTCCATCCTGGATTGGTCAACTTGTATTTAGCATTTGAGCTGCACAACATGTATTGCCTGAGCTACCGCAAAATCAATTTTGACCCCAACTTTATTTGATGCTTTGTGTTGGACTTTTCGGAGGCGCCCCGAGCCTGGCACGGAAGCCTGCCATGGCCAATCCCACTGCTGCCGTTGGCCTTCCTTCCGCTGATTTTATTGGCCAAGGCAAAGAGCCCGAATAATGGCTGCCGCCCCTCTGTCA